TCCTCTATTTGTGCCTTTGAGGGAAGCTTTGACTCTTCCATATCATTTACAAGCCCTTTGCCTTTTGGCATATTCCTGTAGAGTGCTTTCTGGTTTCTGTTAAAAAGTAGCTGTTCTGTTAAAAAGTAGCTGTTCTGTTAAAAAGTAAAAGTTCTGTTGCTTCCTCGTAGTGCAATTCCTGTAGCGTCGAAGGCGTTTTGTTAACGCCAAAAAGCTTTTGTCGTAGGGTGTCAAGATGTTCTGTTATTGTTGAATTCAAGGGCTCGTGCTTCGTATGTATTTTTGTATTGATGAGTATGTTATTCTCCTTTCTTCTCAGTTTTTCTGAGGTATTTCTATTTTTAAATTGTGTGAGTCTCCCAATATCTTTCCTAGTGCTTTCTATACAATTCACCAGCCGTCTTTCGCAAGGTGGCATTCTTTTTTCACTTCGATCATTGTGGGCAGTTACTACGCGGCTGAAAAGCATGGAACCGTTACATCTTGAAGCCACAACCGCAGCACAATAAATTGCTGTGTGTACTTCTTCGAAAGATTGTCTTTGTGGTAGATGTTGTGGCTGTACTTTCTCATTCCAAACGCTGATTGCTCTTGCTAATTTCTTCGAGCAATTTTGTCTGGGAATGAGATAGCGGTTCAGTGGGTCAGTTCCTTCAAATTTCGCAAGTGCGACTGCAAATTCATTGCGAATTTGCACCTCTTCTCTACTCTTATCATCCATTATTATTATTATTATTATTATTGTTATTATTATACTATTATTATTATATTTTTGAATCTGTGATTTCAAACATTGAACTTTTTTAAAAAGTTATAAGGTAAAGAGCGTAAAAGTCCAGACAATATCAATATATCCGCATAAATAGTCTCGATGAACGATTATTCACATTTTTAATGAAGAAAACAAAGAACAAAGCGCTAGAGGGAATCGCGTGATGGTACTCATTCAAAACATGCAAACAGTGCAAGGACAATTGATTTTAAATGAATTCAAAACTACCCAATGGCAGACAATTTCAAAAGTGCAACGATAGTGTTAAATACTTTGAACAATCATATTTAAGAGATTCTTCTCGGAATTGCCCAAATTCACGTAAGAAATCGTGTGATATATAATCAGGCAATGTATCATCAGCATCATATTCTGTCATTCCATTCAAGAATTTAACAATATATTGTGATGCCAATTATTGAAGACATTTCATATTTGTAGCAGTATTTTACAGACTTACGTTTTTCCTCGCAAAACAGACGAATATTGCACTGATTGTAAAAATATTATGTTCCTTCATAATGGGATATAATTAGAACATTACGTGCATTTACTATCTTGGAGCAATATTCGGCAACAAGTTTAATATCAAGAGATGCCCTACAAAAAACATTTTGTGTGTTGTTTGTTTTTTGTGGTTTCAAATTCTTGTGTGGGAACTCGTGACTTTAAATACTCTTCTATAAGAACATCACTGCACCGTAATAATTATAAATTTAGTGTCCTCTTGCCAAAAAAAGAAAATGAATCTAAAGAAATATATAAGACAAGAACCAATAATTCTGGTAACTTACATTTTGGAGCCTTCAATTTTCCACCATTTTCTATTGTAGAAGGTAAGATATGAGAAGGTAAGATAAATGATCGAGCCAAATATATTGTATACTTTGCTTATAAAATGTAGAGCATGTCAGCTAAGAACTCTTGCAGCACATGTGTCCCACGCTACTATTTATTTTGTTTTTTTATCGTCAATGAACTATCAAATGCACCGTCTATTACGTACGCACAAACAAAATCTGCACACATTCTTTGAAGTACTGGAGTCTCTATAATTTCTTAATTAATATGGTTGAATTAAGAATGAAGGTAACACGTATCATCCCTTGTTACATATAAACACAAGAGAGAATTTCACGAGATTTTTGCTTGAAAAATTCTTTAAAATGTTCTTTTACTTTCCCATATTTCGCGCAAAATTACAAGAAAACTATTCATATTTTGAAATCAATTGAACATGAAGCTATTTGAATATTTATCTTAAAACAATAGATTTCATTAAGGAAAACCCATTATTTTCAATATTATAACTGTAGGAAGGCGCCCCCGCCCAAAAATTGCACTTTTTTAATTTTCAAAAAATCTGGGATTTTAGTGCACATGAGACCTGTTCCATTCTCTTAAGCGTCTTTTCCGCTAACCGAGAACAATGTTAAATCAAAATATTTTGAGCCATTTTTAGGAAAAATACAAACATGTATTTTAAGCTTCGGGTAAAGTAACCTCAAAAATCAAAATTTCCGTTTGAAACTCCCAAAGATTTGAGTTCATTGAGATCGATTGGAGAATATTGAGACCATTCTCTATTTCTGATATCATACTTTCCTAGAACGCTTGGAAAACTTTGTAGAGAAGGCGAGCCTCAAAAGGGATATTAATGAGTTCGGGGCTCTTTGAATTAAATTTTAAGAAATTAGACACAAAAAACACAAGTCCAATTCCTTCACACTTGATATAAAAAAACACATGTTCCGAAATCCTTTACAGTAGTCCCGTCTACGTTTGCTGATGATACTTTGCAACTCAAAAAAAGGCAGACAGAAACATAACCATACCCAATATAACCAAATACCCAATAGATTATAATGCAAGCAAAGAAGTGTTGTGAAGTAACAAGAGTTTTTATCCGTCTTCCGCTTACAAAAGATTTGCTGTAACTGATTTTAAGTCGCTCACAGTCCTTGGATGTGCGCAAGAGTCCAACTCCCGAAGCCGGGCATCTTTCCCTCTGCGCACTTGTTCGGCGCGGCCGTGTGATAGCTGTGATTCTGCTCCTCTGAAGAATCTGGCAAAACTTTTACCTCCTCCCGCGCAAAGTCGCGGGTCGCGTTGCAGCTAAGAGACCAGCTTCCTCGCGTGGCCTCGGCCTAGAGGTCTCACGCCTGGGCTCAGTTAAAGTCTCCCAGCCGCCGTTCGCTCACTTCCAAACTCACTAGCCGAATCCCCTTGTTCTCCACGCACGCACTCGCCACCCCAACCGACTGTCAATGTTTATTCCTTGGAGTCGGAGGCCGTCGTGAGTTCAGAAATCACTAGTCTAGGTGGCGTTGTTCACCTCTAGGCAGCAATCGCGCGGGCATTTCAATTTCGTTGTGCCTATATCACGTGAGCGGCACTATGTGATTGGTCACAATATCAAGTTTGGAGAAAATCGGTTGAACGGTTTATGTTCTAGCGTTGACGAACGGATAGACGTTTTGCGGCATCAATTTTTCGGAATCAAGGACAAAATACATGGATTCTGGCTACAACACGTTAGAGATAGTTAGAGGAATAGGATTTATTCATTTATGTATTGGTAAACAAATTTTTTATCACATTTTAACGCGATTTTCAATTTTTTTAAACGGATAAAATTGGTTTTAATTTTTTCACCGTTGCTTACATTGTTTAAAAATCCAAAAAAATATTTTTTATAGAATGTTATGAGATACATTCTAGAGGGAAAAACTGAGACAGAACTCCAATATTAGGATGTCGAACTTTTTATTTAAATTTGGGGCCAAAATTGGTTGACAAAAATATCAACAAATTCAACTATTTTTCCTAGGCGCTACAATTGTTTTCAGCTTGCTACATGCAACAGAAGCTGAGAAAAAATTAAACGTGTGAAACACGTGTTTCATTGTAACTCAGCAACATTGCCCTAGGAGCTGATTTTTTTGGAAATTTGCGGCATTTTTTATTCTCTTTCATATAAGCGCTTCGTCTACATCCTTTGGAGCCGTTTATCAGAAATATTGGTAGTTTTTCAATATCCCCTCTTTTTCACCAAAAATTGTGCGAACACTTCAATTTTTCAAAAACTGTATTTAACGTTAATGGAAGAACTAATCACGGAGAACCAAATTCATTTGATGAAGTAATCATTTTTTCAATATTGTAGTTGTAGAAAAAAAGTCGATTATATTTCAATATTTATTGATTTTCAAAAATTTAACAGTGAAATTCTTTGCCATCTTTATAAGTGTATTTCACTGTATTCTTACATTAATTTAAAAAAAATTAGTGTCGTTTTTGAGAAAATTTTCAAAATATTTTAAGGGGTTCAAGTATTCCCAAAATTAAGTGAATGTTTTTCAAAATGGCAGATCGTCAAGTCGAGTTAGATCGAACGCGGAATTTTCATTTTGGAAGAAATCTTACAAATAGTTTAGGAGAAAGTATTGTTTACACACGGATGGACGGACGGTTGGATAGAACGACGGACGTTTTGAAAATAAAAACACTTTTTCGGTTTCAGAGAACCCCAAATCGTGTATTTACGTTGAAATCTCGAAATCGATTTCCCCTAGCATTACTCCATCCGAGGACAAAGCAGTCGATTTTCACAAAAAAATATATATATATTCCGAAATCAATTTTAAAACATTTTAGGTCATTTGAGTTCAAAAACAAATATATTTGTATTTTGGAGATATTTTACAAGAAGTGTCAAAATTTTCTCCAAAAGGTTTCAAATATTTTTATTAAAGTTTGCTCTCGGATAGGGTATGCCTGATTTTGTCGATAGGTTTTTTGATTTTGTCGTTTAACTACAATATTGAAGATAGATATTTTTTTCTGAATGAAATCAATTCTTTAAAGAGACATATTGAAGTAAGTTCAAGTACAATTCTTTGAAAATACGAGAGGTCACGTAATTTTGTGAGAAATATACGCGTGTGAAATCTAATTTTTAAAATTTTGCAAATAATAATTTTCTCAATAATGGCTCCAAACTTTATTTTTAAATGTTCTCTTCGTCAAAGGATGGTACAAAATTGGTGCTGGTCTTATTTCCGGAAACCTCTCTGTATTTTCGAAAATTAAGAGAGTTAACAGTTCAGAACTACGAAGTTGAAGCTAGAGAAGAAGAAAATCAATTGTAAAAATTAGTTTTTTAGGTAATGTAATTTTGTTTTTAAAAATTGCATTTTTTCGTAATTTCTGCTTGACATTAATGCAATTTATAACTAGTGGTGCTACAAAATGGCCCAGACTTTCCAATACTAGTTATATATTTCCTTTGGTCTCGGCTAGCTATTCAGACTTGACACATACTCTGGCCACCTGCCATCTATCACCATCCAAAGTACTTTTTTTTCATTTTCTTAATTTTTCTGTTTGCTAATAGTAGAACGGAAATATTATTCTAATAATATTCATGAACAGTAAACCCTCGTCCTAAATGGCAATTTTCTTTGAAACATTTGGAGCCATTTTTAAGAAAATTTCGATTAAGCGCTACTGTATTTTCGAAATTTGATGCTCTTTTTCACAGAAAATTTTGAGTTTTCGAAAAAGGTTATTATAAGTCATTTGAAACGTACTAACTCAAACAATACAATAGCGTTTACAAATTACTGAATATGTGCACATTAATGGCTTGGGAGATCTGTCAAACAAATTACATGTGTAATTAAAAAAATTCCCCAAATTGAATCTTACGTCATAAAAGTGCAAATAGCACTATCCGTTCGAAAAGTTTGAAGAAAAAAATTGGAACTGTTTTTGAGAAAAAATTTAAAAATATCCAGGGGTCATTATGTAAAGTACCCCCAAAGTTTGAAGAAACATTTTCAAAATGGTAGAGCTTCGACTCAGGTCGGATCAACGGGGGTTCCTTGAATTTGAAAAAACTCCTACGCATGGTTTAAGCCCTAGTCTGTTTCACTATACCAGACCGACAGACGAACGTTTTAAAAAATACTTTTTCGATACCAGGGGACAACAAAACGTATTTCCGTTGAAATTTCGAAATCGATTATCCACAGCGTTATATACGTTTCCCTATACTACGTATATCTGTATGCATAGGGGAAAATAAAAACATATAGTCTCAAAAACCCCTTCAAATATTTTCTTTATATTTTTTCGATAAATAAAGCAAGGGACGATTATAAGAATGGCTCAGATCTCGTTTCTCACATTCTGTAAGTATTTTCGAAAATTGCGAATATAGAAATAATGCGCGCTTCTATAGCCCCAATACTTTCTTGTATTGTGTAAAGGCGGTGTTATTGTTCTTTCAGAGAGCGACGGGCTGGAGCTGAAGCCGTTCCTGGAGTTCTGCAGGTATCTGCGGCGCCAGCCAGTGCTGGAGTCGCCACCGGGCCCCAACCTGTGGGGCAGCGTGCTGCCCAACGGGTCGTTCTCGGGGGGCGTGATGGGAGCCCTGGCCGAAGGGCGCGTGGAGGTGGCGTTCGCCAACCTGTGGATCACCCCCGAGCGCCTGGCGCGGCTGGCCATGGGCCCGCCGCTGGGGCTCACGTGCCACACCTTCGCCGTGCGCCGCCAGAGCGGCTCGCAGTGGCTGAACGTGGCGCGGCCCTTCGAGGCGCCGCTGTGGGGCGCGGCCGCCGCCGCCTGCGCCCTCGTCGCCGCCGCCCTCCGCCTCCTCTCCGCGCCCTTCGCTCCCGCAAACGCAGGTGAGTGCGATGTATTTGATGGAGAACGATTTGAAAATTTATAATAAAAAGACCAAAGATTGTATTTAACACTGTCGTACCGTTCTGTCGATTACGTTAAAACTTTGTCAACTTTTTCCTTGCACTCCCGTGAAGAATATACTCGTAGGCAAAGCACAATGGAAATGAGCGTAGTCTGTCGCACATAGACAGGCGTTGATGTATTTATGCTAACTCAAATGCTCCTGAACAGGAAACTTTATGCAACCCACTGCATTCTCAAGTATTAAGCGCGTCTTTGCTGCATATTTTGCCCCTGCAGTTGTGAAATATCGGCCGGAATTATTACTTGTCGCATGCTCGGCGCACACGAGCGCCTTCTCCGCTTTACCCTCACCTTATTTGGAGGAGAAACGCAGTACATCCTCTCTACATTCCACTGCTTAGATGATGGTCTTGAGCCTATATATATATATATATATATA